GACTGAACTAAGATATGGCATGTAAACAGATGCTATGGTTTCTTACTTTAATGAAAAAAATTCCACTCTAAAGAAAAAGAGAAATTTTTCATTTTGACAATTTTATAACATTTATTATTTAATATTAACATTGTATATACCATTATATATAGTATATCTCTCTCCAATCAGCCCCATGGCATGTGTGAATAATTATCACTCACTTATGATATTTTTACTTTTCCAAAGTTGTTCAATTTTGTATTTTTAAAAATTAGTCTTGAAAGCTTAAGTTAGGTGCTCATTATACAATTGAGTAATTATCAATATTTATTTGGTGACCAGAGGGTTATGTTTTTAGAATAAAAAACTAAATTGTCGTATTATTGAATTACAAGATAACATATTTTATTAGTTTTTACAATCATTTACCAGCATATAAAAATTTTGATTTAAATAAAGATGTGATTTTTTAATTAGGAATTCTAATTGTTTAGGTAATAATTTATTATATATAGTAAAACCAATTAAGATATAGTTTAGCCAACCATGAAGGCTATTAATCTCGATCCTAAAAATAGGAAAGTAGGACGTCACTATTTTGATTCTTGAAGTTCTCCAAAATCTGGAGCGTCTGAGTCATTTTTGCATATTATAATCTAAAAGCCAGGATCTGGATTTCAGTTTTATTAAATAATCAATCCTTGTCCCGGTATTTGAACAATGTTGAAAGTCAAATTTTTATAGATGTTATTAAAGCTTCAATTCCTAATATTCCTTTCTTTATATAGAATTTTATCAGCATAAGATATAATAAAATATAACAAAAATTTGAATAATAATACTCAAGTTCAAAATTTATATTTTTATTATAAATGATGTTCTAAAGATAAAACCTCAACCATTTATGTATGTTAACAATATACTTAAAAATGAAAATCAATTTATGCTTAAAGGGTAAAGTTTTTGCTAGTGCTTTACTCTGTGTTTGTGCTTTTAAAATAATGTTGTTTTTAGGCTCATTTATAATATAATATATGATAACAAAATAATTCAGATTAAATACAATTGTAGTAACTTTTGTAATCAGTGTTTAATGTCAAATTTCTTTATTTATTGTTAAAGGCAAGCATAGAGGGTGTTTATTTTGTAAAATAGGAAAAGAGGCCCTAAAATAGTTGATTGTATTCCTTCTAATGTTTTGCGGAACTAATGTAGCAAATTCCACTGCCAGGAAGCAAAGGAAGATCGGTCACATGCTCCTTGACAAAGAAAAGCTGGCTATAAAGCCATGACAGTGCAGCTTCTCCATGTACAGAATTGTAATGTGGAAGCCAAAACTCCTTACACATCTACAAAGTCTTTGTATTTCACTTTAGCTGCCAATTCCAGAGTTATGGCACTGACTGACTATGTTGTTTTGGCTTAAGTGGGAGCTCCTGCCTCTCCATATTGAGTCTAACTTCATACACTTCAGGAAAATTTTCTTGAGGATCAAGTAGTTTTAAAACATCATTGTTAACATATCATACCTAGTCATTAAAGACATGGGCAAGGCATAGGCTGTATTTAAAATATAGCTATTTGGTAATAGAAATATTTCTGATTTAGCTGAGATTTGTTTTGAATATATTTGGATATTCTAGGATATTTTACCATATTCATTTAAATTAATCTTGCATTTATAATTTATGAACATGTTCATAATTTATAAACTTCTCTAACCACTTTGTATCATTGTGATTTGGTCATGGGGGCATGAGCCAAAGAAATACCATAGCTTACAATGCATTGCTTAGGGCCTACATCTAGAATGGCAATTGTGAGGAGCTCTTAAAGTTTCTACTTAAAAACTAAAGCAAACCAAACGTGACAATTTATTTTTTCATGAAAGCAAACCAAGAACAAACAATGAAAAAAAATGTTTCTAAACTCCAGGACGTCAAAGAAGTGCCGGTCAAAAGCCGAGAAAGACCACAATCATCTGACAGACAGATGCAGACTGGAGTGGAAAGAGAGAAATGCCATGTAAGCATGCCACATCATTGCCAGCTAGGTGGAGAGAGACGAGGCCTCACGGTGAGTAGCAGCCTGGTTGGAGCAAAAAACGCTCGCCATCGCAGTGATCCATAGATCCTACGTCTCCCATATGCGACGTTCTGGTAGATGCTCGTTACAGCACAGCGACTTGTCGATCGCGCGCAGATGGTCTCACAAGATCCAAGCTCAACGTTCGTCCCGAGCTTCCCTGGGAGATGGAGATGGCTGACATATTGTGGAAGGGGCTGCTCAGGCAGTGTCCTACCAACGGAGGTCACTCGTTCGAGCCCATGGATGATTGTGGACAACGTAAATACTTAGGAGGCAAGCGAGCGCCCTCTGAGAGGATGAGCGACTTCTCGCAGGAGGAATTCGACGAAGTGACGAGGCTGCGCAAGATTTATGATAGGCCAGACTACAAGTTGGTTGTTCTCCATCTCCGCCACTTCTATTGACCAGCCAAATATGCTTCTCCTTGTTCCTCCAGGCTTTACACAGCAATTCAGTCTCTATGAACCAGGGGCACTCTTTCGCTCACCATCTTTTTCTGGGCGCAAAGGAAAAACTTTCTTGGCAATACCATCTTCTTTAGAACAAAACCGGTCGATTATCTGCTGCGATCGCTGCCGGCGGCCTAGCCATCGCCAATCTGTACTAGAAAGATTGTGGCGTTAACTCTTTTTTCATTCTTTTTTATTAGATCCTCTCGATCTCTTCTCACAGTTGTGACATTTTTAAATTTGAGCTGCTGACATCCACGGAAGAAGCCAACGCGGGAGCGCTACAACATCTCTACCCAGCGAATGTTTCTTTCCAGGTGAGAGCTCAAGCAGCGGGTGCTTCACACAACATAGGAAGCCATTCCAAAACCGGCGGAATCAAATCGGCTGCTCTGAATCGGAAAACAAGGATTCTGGATCATGCGATATTTCAAACGTTCCGGTTTTCGAACCACTGCAAGTGTGCAAGCTTAAGTTTTAGAATTTGGTTGCGAGTCACGCTCAAATGTTTGAAACAAACAAACGTTGTGGGGAGTCAGTCGTTGACAAGATGCTGAGCCTACCCAAGCGCCACCACTAGATCTCATGCTGCCGCCAGCGCTGCTGCCACGGCCAAATCCCATGCTACCACTGACCGGTGCCACCCACTGCCAGCCTCCATTGGCACGCCCTAAAACTAATCCCTAATCCCTAAAACTAATGCTAATCCCTAAAACTATTGCCAAGCCTTCCACTCCTTACGAGCACTTCTCGCGAGCTCAAATAGAATTTTATTCCTGGTTGCTATTAAGGACAACATTTTAAAGTTTGTTTTTCCTCTCATGATTCTCCTACTTACAGTAGTTTGAGCTGTGGAACATGCCATATGACTATGCCTCTCACGACGGCCTAATTGCGGCCTTGGCGCAGTCTCCAGCGACTGGCATGGTTGCATTGGCGAGCCATGACAAGTGTGTCAATTGAAGTAGAGTGAGAGGGCCAAAGACAACAAGGATAGATACTTAAGCTAAGCAAATACCCAATGTTTTCTTTTTGTTGTTTCATTCATAGGGCTTCTGTTATGGCTTTTGTTTTCTAACACACATCACATACCCAAAGAAAATCCTCGCATATAGACTTCCTTAACTTAAAAGATCAAAGCAAAGCCAGATTTTGCCAGGTTACAAGTGGATAGATGGAGGGCAGAACTAATATGTAAGGATTATCTTAATGTGTAAGAGAAAACTCTCGCTGGTTGTTTACAATTTATCGGCTGAAATCAAGATTTTAAACACTAAGAATATTCCAAGGTCTTTGGTTAGCCATCCATGGATGATGGGAACCGTTTATACTGGTGAGGCGAGGAATGGTTCTCTAAGATAACGCTGTGCAAGATTTATGATAGACCAGACTTCAAGTTCCCCTTGTTTGTGAGCCCAGCAATCTGCATTGCCAGGTTATTTTCCATCTCCATGGCTTCTATTCAATGCTCATGCTACAAGCACGAGCAGCCAAAGCTAACGTATGAATATCGGGTGGAGCATGGTTACAATTAGAGGGTCTGGACACTCAAAGCAGTGTCTCTTCCAGCAATTCAATCTCTATGAGCGGATAGGGGCTTTCTTTCGTAGAAACCTTCGTGCTCGCCTTCTTTTTTCTGAACGCGCAAAGAATTAAAGATCCACTTTCTTGTGCCACACTCTGCACCTAAAGAGATTGCTTTTTTTATTTGGCGGAGCTCGATAATTCCAGCGAGCTCCGGCAAAAGAAGCCTAGCTTGAGCATTCCTAGCGCTTGCATGAGCGAACGAATTGATCAATTGCTAGGGAAACATAGAACGAGCTCCACATTCTGTCTCTCGTAGCACAGATTGAGAATCACATCCGCTGCGGTCGCTGCTGGCAACGTTACCTTGGCGGCGGCGATTCTGGTAAGCAAACCTTTCTTCTCTAATGTCACAGTAGTGACATTAGCTGACATCCACAAGGAAGAAGCCAACGCTGCGGGAGCGCGACAGAGCATCTGTTTCCACCAGATCTCTTGAGTAGAACTTTCAAGGTTCTTCCTTTAAAACTCTACCTAAGCGTCCCATGTGAGAGCTCCAGCAGCGGGTTCCACAACTTATGCTCCGCGAAAGCCATTTCTTAAGATCATTTCTTAAGAGTTGGATCATACTCGAAATCTCTCTGAGATGTTTTGGAAACATCTGGAGAGAATGAATTGTTACGCGCTAAAGCTGATAAGAACAGGGCGCAAGCATTTATGTAGGAATGACTCTGATCGTTGACATTGCATCAGCTGATGGTTTTGTTCTCTCACTTGAAGCTCAAATTTTTTACGTTTTGGCGCGGTCAACGAGGGTCTGACTGGCAAGACTGCCGAGCCTACCCAGCTTTGGCAAGATATCCCCAAATGGCCCTGCCGGACCTCCCCGGTGTGGTAGGTCCGTGACCGAGCCTGCGTGCCTTGCAGAAAGAAGCACACACTTAAAACACTCTTTAGCTCGAACACTCCTTGTTTTGCAAGCTCGTGGCTATGGCGGATCCATGGACGCGAGCGCTATCGAGCAGGGGCGCCTAAAGATCTCGGTTCCAAGGTCAGTGCTCTTCCTGTCCCCTGCATTCTCTCTCGGCAGAGGTGATTGCGCAGCTCGCCAAGGGTTTTGTGCGAGTCCTAGGAGGATTTTCGCGTGCTACTGCAATGACGAGGGCTTTCATCTGCAGGATAGGCGGATTCTATTGCCGGAGTCCTTCGAAAGAGCGGAGGCGCAATGGCGCAAAGTAACTGGGAAGCCGATAAGATGTAAGCGTTTGGATTTCTTTTTGTTCTTCTCGTTGTTTGAGTAAGATTGGGATTCGCAGGCTCGATGTTTATATACACGACTATCTTGTGAAGAAAAACCTCCAGGCCTCTGCCAAGGCCTTTCAGACAGAGGGCAAAGTTTCTGGCGATCCTGTCGGTAAGAGCTCCTCTCCGTAGAGATTCTTGTCCTCATAGGAGTTCCATTGCTCCTTTTTTTCCCTTTTTTTTTCGATGCAGCGATTGATGCTCCTGGTGGTTTTTTGTTCGAGTGGTGGTCCGTGTTCTGGGACATTTTCATTGCTCGTACGAATGAAAAGCACTCAGAGGTGGCTGCTTCATATATCGAGGTAAAGCTTTTCATTCATTTTTCTTATTCATCACCCCTTGTACTACAGACTCAGCAACTCAAGGCGAGAGAACAACAGCAGCAACACCAGCATCTTCAGCACCAGCAGCAACAGCAGCAAATTCAGCAGCAGCAGCACCAGCAGCAGCACCAACAACAATTACAACAAAGTCAGCAGCAGCAGCAACAGCAACAGCAGTTGCAGCAAAGTCAGCAGCATCAGCAGCAGCAGCAGCAGCAACAACAACAACAGCTGCAGCAAAACCAGCAGCAACACCAGCAACAGCAGCAGCACCAGCAGCAGCAGCAACACCAGCAGCAACTTCACATGCAGCAGATTCAACTCCTCCAGCGTCAAGCCCAGCAGCAGCAGCAGCCTCGGAGGGATCTGGCCATAAACGCTGCTGCAAACGGCATGGGTGGTGATTCACTCCTCACCCCAACTGCGAACGCAATGGCAACCAAAATCTACGAGGAGCGTCTCAAGCATCCACACCAACGTGACACTCTCGAAGATATTAAGGTCTGTTCAGTTGCCGTGACCCAAGGGACGCACTCTGACTGGGGGTCTTTGCAGAGATACGGAGAGACTCCGGGACAGCTTTTGGATCCAAGCCCGACAAGTCTGCTTAAAGGAGCGCCGACTCCTGGCCAGCCGTCTGGGTAAATGATCTTTTTTCTTTGATGTCATTACGTTTTCAAACTCTGGAAATGGACAGGCCTTTACTTCCAGCTAGTGCTGCTGGATTGCAACAAGTTCAGAACAGGCCTCAGCTCTCTGGAGTCTCTCAGGTACGTCTTCTAGTCTTCTAGTCTCTGTCCGGCTCATTCGTTTTTTACACAAAACAGGACAGCAAGAGCGACGGCAACGTAGTTTTGAATCAAAGATCACCTGCACCGGATCCTTCCATGTTTGGGCATGCCAAGCCAAACCTTCTTAGTCCAGGTATGCTCTTGACTTTGAGAGTGCGCTTGAGTTGACGTTTTAATTATCGGCAGGAGTCAATCAAGGAGGAAATGCAATGTCATTGAAAGGCTGGTCATTAGCTGTAAGTACAATCGACACGGAAGTATTTGTTGTTTGACGTTGGTGTCTTGCGCTGCTCAGGGAATGGATCAGCTTCGCCCGACGCTAGTGCAAAATCAGAAGCCGTCTTTGCAGGCTTCTCCAGCATATCATATACTGAGTCCTCAGCACCAGCACTTACTGCTTCAGGCTCAGGCGCAAGGAAGCTTGCCTTCGTCCAATTCTGCTCTCCTTGGTGATGTAGACGGGAGAAGGTTTCGCATGCTTCTCAGTCGGAATCAAAACCAAATGGGCAAAGATGGTCAAGCTGGTCTCAGCGAGGTCGGATCACCTATGCAGGCTGCAACACTCCTGCCTCGTGGTAATCCACAGGATCAGGGGGAGATGCTGATGAAGGTACTATCTTCATTTTTCACTCATGGAGCTTGAAGTGTTTCTTTTTATTTTTTGGCAGATAAAAATGGCCCAGTCGCAGCAAGCTCAAAGTGGCCAACAGCCACAGCCACCACAGTCTTCTCAACAAGGGCAGCAAGCGCAGCAGCAACCGGCAACGCCACAACAGCAGCAACAGCAGCAGCAACAACTACAACAAGAGAGAATGGGTGTTGTTGGAGTTGATGGTGCGCTGTCCAACTCCTTTAGGGGAACCGGCGACCAGGTTTATAGCGGCATGGAGCCGAGTCCCAGTACGAACAGCACAGGGACTGGAAAGGTGAAAGTGAGATATAATTTGTAGCGTCAACGTTCTTACATAACTTCGTTTTATTTCCTTTTCGTCTACAGGTTGCTGCTAAAGGTCCCAGTGGCCGAAAACGGAAGCAACCGGCGTCATCCTCTGGTCCAGCTAATAGTACGGGTACAGCGAACACGGCGGGTCCGAATTCCCCGTCGTCTCCATCAACACATACGCCTGGCGATGTCATTTCCATGGCGGGAGCTTTACAACAAAATGGAAACATCTCCAAGTCGCTTATGATGTACGGGTCAGATGGAGCTGGGACGCTTGCTTCGCCTACAAACCAGCTGGTAAGAACTATATGCTGTAAGCTGCAATAGGATGGTTTTTTCCTGATTTTCTCTGTAATGGCTTTTTTGTCAAGGGTCTGAGTGGTGGAAATTGAAGTTGCAGGCTGATATTGACCGCTTCGGCGAAGATCCGTCGCTGGATGATAACGTCGAGTCCTTTTTATCGCACGACGACGCAGATCATCGCGATGGCTTGTTTGGAAGCAGCAAACAAAGCCCTGTCATGGATGTGAGCAAAGGCACATATCTATTTCGATAAATGCATTTCGATAGAATTTCTCCTCTTACTGTTGGTTTGAATTCATTGACCAGGTTTTCTTAGCGAAGTAGGTTGCTTGCGAGCAAGTACGAGCAAGGTTGTCTGTTGCCATTTCTCGTCCGACGGGAAACTTCTTGCGAGCGCCGGACACGATAAAAAGGTCTGGAAAAAAATGTGTTTTTAAGTCAATGCCGTAGGCTAATTGTTCTCTTGGCAGGCTGTTCTCTGGAATATGGACACTCTAAAGCTCAAGAGTACCCTCGAGGAGCACACCTTTCTTATTACTGACGTAAGATTCAGTCCAAACTCCACGCGCCTGGCGACCTCGTCATTTGATAAGACCGTGAGAGTGTGGGATGCAGACAATGTAAGTCTTGAGCTTGAGTTCCCGCCAACCGAGTCATGCGGACTAATTCTTGTCCAACTCTCGTGTAGCCGAGCTATTCCTTGAGAACGTTCACCGGCCATCAGACGTCGGTTATGTCGCTTGACTTCCATCCCGTGAACGAGGACCTACTGTGTTCTTGCGACGGAGATAGCGAGATACGCTACTGGAGTGTGAGCCAAGGCGTTTGCACCAGAGTCTTCAAGGTTTGTCTATCTCTTTGCGAAGCACGGTGCTGATGCGTGATAAGTTGCAGGGTGGTATGGCGCAGACGAGGTTCCAGCCAAGAGTCGGAAGGTTATTGGCGGCAGCTGCCGAGAATGTGGTCTCTATTTTTGATGTGGATACCGAGACTTGTGTACATTCCTTACAGGTAGGCACGTCTTCTGTGGTAATCTTTGCTCAAATCTTTTTCTTTTCTGGCAGCGACACACGAAGCCGGTACACTCGGTGTGCTGGGACGCTACTGGCGACTACGTCGCTTCGGTCAGTGAAGATTCGGTTCGAGTATGGGCACTAAATGGAAGCGATGGCGATTGCATCCACGAGCTGAACTGTAACGGGAACAAGTTCCACTCTTGTGTGTTCCACCCCAAGTTACCGACTTTGCTGGTCATCGGTTGCTATCAAGTACGTCTGTTTAAAGTTTATTTTTTTCCTCGTTTTGTGTGTTTCTTGATGTTCATGGTTCTTCTACTTGCAGTCGCTTGAGCTCTGGAACATGCAAGAGAACAAGACCATGACTATACCCGCTCATGACGGCCTGATCGCGGCATTGGCACAATCTCCAGCGACTGGCATGGTTGCGTCGGCGAGCCATGACAAGTGTGTCAGGCTGTGGAAGTAGAATGAGAGAGCCAGAGACAACATGAACAGCTACAGGGATTCACAAGAATCTCAAAGCTGTTTATAGAGAAGCACAGATTTGTGACAACAGGTATGAATTCCACAGATTTATATTTTCCTACTTCACGGTGGTGTCAGTTGTTTACACGACAGCGAGAAAAGCAAACCAGTTTACAGGAGAAGGCGGGGGCGAGTTTTCGGCTCCTGCTTGCTACTCCTACTTTGCGAGTTCCACGTACTGTGGAGCTTCCTTGAACAGCTTTTCTGACGCTGTCCTGCAGGCGGGGATCCCAGTGGGTATCTCTTTGAGCTCTTTGAGAAGATCCATCACTTTTCCCGACGCTGTTCTAAAGGCAGTGCTTCCGGTGAGGGACTGCTGCCGTAGCGGTGGGATTCTGAGGTCGATCCCCTCGGTACTGCTCTCTTTCACGTCGATGATGTGCTGCTTTCCCTCCGGTTTACTGCTCTCTTCCTTCTTCTGCCTTAATATCTTGCAGACGATGTAGAGAACTATTTGGCCGACAGCACACACGGAACCGGCGGCGCTTGGGATCTGTAGAGAGAGAGATCAAGATGGTGTAAGAGTAGGATCTTTCGTTTTCTTCTTTTGGTTTGATCGAGAACTTACTCCTATGAAGATGTCTTTGGTGAAGAAGGCGAATCCAGACCAGAGGATCCCGTTGATGAGGAGGAAGATGGTGAGTGTGAGGGGCATTGCTTCCACATTCTTGGTGCGAATCACAGTTCTCTAGACAGGGAGAATTTTTGAAAGCTGTCAGTCGGGAATGTTGGATGGGTGCGAGCTTTTTGCTTTTTTATTTGAAAGCTTTTTTCGTACCATGACCGAGAGAGGGGACGCGTACATGGCAATGGCGATGGCCGACGCGACACTCCCAATGACGATGATGCGGAGTTTCCCGCGTGTTGCAAAGAGAGTGATGAGAATCAAGCTGCACAAGATGAAAAGCTCCACACCCAACAGCTTCCAAATCTTCCGCTGCAAACAAAGATCTCCATTTCTTAGCATCTGGGAAGAGTGACGAAACTCTCGACGAACTTGAATAAGGGAATAGAGAAACTCCTGGAAGAACTGAGAGACTCTTGGAAGAACTCAAAAGGAAACGACGGGGTTCGATAGAGAGGAACACTGGAAAGCTTGCGAAGAACTCTCAAGAACCAAGCAAAGTTTGTGAGAGCTTGTGGTGTACCCTGCTGGCTTTGGAGGCGTATTTGTAGAAGATGATGATATAGGCGAGCTCGAAGACGCATCCAACGCAGTTAACGGTCACGATGAGCAATCCCCCGCCGCTCTTCATCATTCCATAGTAGAGCCCCAGTGCCGCCGTCAAGAGCGTGAGGACGTATGGAACCACGGAGAACATCTCGGTGGATTTCTTCCGGGAGATGATGCTAAAGGTTGGTCTGCGACAAAGATCTCAGGAAAGAGTTAGAACTTGGAAAGAATGAAAAGCTTGTGGATATGAGAACTTACATTGGCGATGCATACACGGCAATCGCAGTCGCATTTCCTGTCAGTCGAGAAAACAAAGAAAACGAACGAGTCAGCCGAGGCGAGACTTGGTCTATCTATTCTTTAAGAAAAACAATGCGAGAAGAACAAGAACATACCGACAAGTCCCAGGATGAAAATCTTATCAGCGGGCATTTTTGATCTCAATACCAAGCAGCAAAATCAAGCCAAAAGGAGAAATAAAACAAGGAATTTATTGGTCCTTTTCTCCCTTTCTTGCCTCCAAGACTTCTTCTCTCGTTTTGAACTTTTGAGACGAGCGTTGCTGCCGAGGTTTTATATACGAAAGCCATGACAGCACAACATTCTCACTTATCAGGAAACAATATAAATGATTAGATAGTGGAGGAGTTTAAGCTAACTCGCGATTTGGCTTAGCAGATTGTCTTCTAATTCATGTCTTGGTCCCTCGGGACAGCGGTGACATCCACTCTGGATATTTTGATATAGAAAGGTGGTGGTATTTTTATGTGAGAGAACCGGAGCAAAGATCTTCAGTCTATGGGCGAGTGACACATGGTCACACACTTGGAAGGGAATTTGAGGGTTTTTGCAGAGCACCACCAAGTTTCTGGCGGGGGAGTGTTGTGATTTGGAAGATTCTGGCTTTGATTCGCTTGGAGTGTTTGGCCGGTCGGTCAAATTGTGTGAGGGGTCACTGCATGTGATGCTTTCCGTGGCGAATGAGCAGCCGACTTATGTGCCTAGAATATTTATATAGATCTATCACCTTTCTGTAACTCTTTGCTTTTCCTGATTGTATTGCAGCTTTATAATAATGACGGTAATAATTAATAGTAATTATATTAATGATACTGTCCCACTCCACTCACTCCACAAAACAAATTTTTGGGCTCATGGGATACAACTTTCGTGCCGTGGCGTGGATGGATTGCTTTCTGTCCGTGTGATATCAAACCCCTTCATGGAAATTTGCGCTAAAGAGCAAGGAAATCTGCGCTTTTTAGAGCAATGATTGAAATTCTTGCATAAGATATGGGGTCTCGACTCAGAACTTAGTCTACAATGATTTGAGATGGGCGAGTTTATCGCATAGATTTTCAAAGCTTTCAAATATAATAGCGTTGATGCCCAATGACTTTGCAGCTTCAACGTTCCTCCTCCTGGAAAACACCAAAAGAACATTAACAAAAATAAAATGTGGTTTCCACTTTTGAGCTTAGAAATCTCTTACTGATCATCAACAAATGTGCAATCTGATGAATCCACTTGCAGTTTTTGCAAAACGTCCAAATAGGCATTAATTTCAGGCTTTCGTTTGCCTGCACAAATTGCCACTTATTTGTTATTTGTTAAAAAATTACTTGGAGAGAAAATCGAACCTGTGTGGCACGAGACAAACGTCCATTCCAGGTAGCGAGAGAGCTGAAGCTTGTCTTCAATCAGCATATACCTGAAAAAAATCACATAAATTGATAACTCATACTTCATATATTTACCAGTCTGGATAGTTTGTGAAGGCATGCATTTCAAAGCCCGAGGATTTCAAGCTACAAAGAAGCTCTTCCATTCCTTCGATGAATTCATAGCCAGCCACCATGCAACTCTTGAGTCCTGACCAATCCCGCAAATTCGTGAGAGCTCTAGAGCAAGAATGGAGAGAGAAAACCTTGAAGATCAAAGTCCCTGCCATCGTTAAAAAATCTGTGCTTGAGCTGTTCCTGTGTAAAAGTGTTCAAGCAAGAAAAAAGATAGAAAGAAAGCCACACCTCTGTGATCAATCCTTTCTCGAACTCAATCCACGCAGTTGGGTGTTTGATCTCCAGAAGCTCCTTCATAGAAAGCCTGGGGAATAGACACACAATTCAAGGAGGTGCTTCTTGTGGAAGAGATTTTACCCAAAGAATGCTGGAACATCCTTGTAGAATGGATCGCGCACGATGGTGCCCATGACATCAAACAAAAGCACGGGCAACTTCCTTACAATGTTATTCCTGGCCAGATTTCCCCCCATTGAGAGCGTGGAAGAAGAACTCATGGGCCGTGTTCTTGCTACCGGCGCCAATCTCCCACCACAGCCTATGGCATCTAGAGCTGGACTTCTAAGCATAGCTCCAGCCCTACCAATCAAGATCCTTATTATTTTTGTCGCAGATGATAGAATTTTCTTTCCTTTAGCAATTATATTGGGGTAAAATAAATTTCAAATTTGAATAGCATTTGATTTAATTAGTTAGATATTGGTTAGCTTAAGAAACCTGTTTATCTGTCAGTTTGATCTAGCTACCTCAATAGAAGGGCAGGATGTAAACAAATAAGACACCCTTCTTGTCTCCCATGCCATATTCCTTGCAAGGAAATTAGATAATTTCTTCCTAGCTTCAACAGCCACAGCCACCCTTCTAAAGAGAGATGAACACAACTTCTACTTTCCCATGCTTCCTTTGAAAATGCCGCTAGAGAAGACTAAAAAATGGCAAACAATAAGTCAACACATAGGCTTTAGCTTGCTTGTAGTCCCTGAGATCTCACAGGGCAAAACAATTACCGCAGTGGGTGTCTATTTCAGAATATAATATAAAAGTATATACTATATTATAGTAAATAGCACTTCAAATTGCAAAGTAAATTTACTATTGTAAGTCCAGTGTACGTCTGAAGTTTAAATTTTTATCATTTAAATTTGAAATAAAAAAAATCTAAAAGAGATGTTGCTTTTAGTTTATCTTGAACATTACAAGAACCCAATAAATTTTTGGTCTAAGTAGCGTGAAAAATAGAGCCTGTATAAAATTATAATAAATTTATGAGTAAGATTTATTCTCATAATTATAAGATAAAAAATTAAAAACAACTTTACCAGTATTCAACATCTCTAACCTTGCCAGATTTGCAACTTGGAAAACAAACTAGAATTTTGTTCTTATGAGTTAAATAGAATATGTTTCGGCATAATTTCACTTGTGTGTAGCTTATTTCATGAGACTGCTTTCAAGGGTTTTTTTCAAGGGTTTCAATTGTTTCAAGAGAGAGTTTAGTTCATATCTATGACTTTTAACTTTCATGGGATGGCATTCAGCAAATAATACCACCACCTTGTCATGGCTTTAAATTTAACTAGAAACATGCTTTTTATTTCCCCAAAGCTTTAGAATGGAGGTAAATTAATAAAATTTTAATTCAGATCTTTGTATTAAGCTATTATGTTGATCTCCATATACAAGTTTGAGAAATAGTATTATATACAACTGCATAGCCAGTATTCTCAACACAAAGTGCATAAGAAACCCAAACATTCTTGTGATATATATTATAGGACCAAATAATACTATCATTCATGTCATATATCACAAGATTTCCATCTTTTTGTAATCTAAGGAAACATCGCTCACCTTTATTATTAGTTTTAGTGTCCCAAATTACAATTTTTTTATAATAAAGTACTAAATTACAATCAAGTTGCATATACAAATTATATAACTGATTTGGAGATTGAAGAAAAGCCCCATTTTTTAATTTTGAAAAGCTGGAATACTGTGGTCCACTTTTTATACAAGTATTATAAAAATTACAGTCTTGCTCATGTTTATTGTTTACTGACATAAAATAGTTTTGCTGCAAAGGAAATGTATAGTCTTCATCTATGACATAAGATATAGAAAATCTATAATATATGTATTCTGCAAAGCCATAAGTTACTAGATCATTTAAAACATAATGTTTCAAGAGAAACATAAATTCAGATTCTAAATATGATCCTGTATTATACAAACTCAGATTCGGAATTATAGTACAAGTTATGACATATGTCTTAAAAGTATGATATACATCAAGAGCTGCTATTGTTATTAATAAGGACCTATAATCTTCATATATTACTTTAGAGTAAGAAAATCCTATAAACGATTCATCCCGTTTTCCAACTTCCTTTATAAGTTCTAGAATAATTGGTATAATGATTTTTTGTCTATAACTAATTGTAATAGCATTTGGGTATTCATAGTTTTTAATTAAGCAGTAACACTGTAAGCATAAAGATAAAAAAAAAACAAAGATCATGAGGTACTAAATTAACATCATCTTGTTTTATCATCTATTTAAGAAGAATTACTCTCTTTTATTAATGCTGTTACAAAGTAAGACCTAGCTTTATCTAATAATTTTATACTTTTGCAAGTATATTTGTCTATATTATTATACCAACAAAATTTCTACTAATAGATAACGTAGCTTTTTCTTTTTTGTAAAAGTTATACTGTTCCTAATTTCTCTCATCAGTATTGTCAGTTTTTTTTATTTTACTCTATCTTTTATATTTTATATTATAAATAAAAAACTGTACTCTTTTTATCCATTTTACGTGGCCCATCCTAAAACTTGAAAATAAGAACTTTATAGTTTATAAAGTTTGCAAGAGATGTTATGAACTCAAACTTTGATTATAGTGGAATTAACTGAGAACTTAGTATACTTCAAGTATTATTAAATAGATGAGTATAGTTAGGCTTTCTTTAATTTGTAAGTCTTTTTTACACTAGATACTTTCTAATTATAGAGGTAAAGTTAAGTTTATGTTGTATGTATGTATGACCTGTTTTAGATCTTATAGTGCCCATCTAAGATAAGCCACTTTTTTAAAGAGTTTTTATGGTAGAAATATTTTCTTATTTATATTTTTTCTAAATGTAAATTTTAAATTATGAATTATTTTTTATTCTAAAGTGATACATATATAATAATAATATTAATAATAATAATATAATTATAATTGCTCATCAAACTTTTAATGTTTTGATTTGTATCATTTCTATAATACAGGGATATATTAATCTGAATTCACATTTCTTTTAACAATTATATGATTTGGTAGCTTATGCTTTTCAAAATAAACATACTATATATATCTTATACCATAAAGTGATAGAAATGAAGTGCAAATTATATATTTATTATAATTTATTTAAAGCTAGATGCTCCAAGGAAACACCTCCATTCTAAAGCCTGGGGAATAAAAGGCATGTTGGTAATTAAATCTTCAGCCATGACAAGATGGCTAGATCGACCCAGCAAATCAATTGTACAACAGTAATGTTGGCTTGTGGGTTGAATGCCGAAGTCAAAACTCATAGACAGAAATCTAGCTCTCCCTTGAAACAATTTTCCAGCATGGCTAGAGGCAAGAAAAATTATGCTGAAGCATATTTCATCTGGCTCCTCAATCAGGCATAAAGAACCAAAACTATACAAAACATTATCAAACTGTCCGGCTTGGGCATATGTTGCAAGAAGCGTGTTCCAAGAAACGACATCTTTATCTAGCATTTGATTAAAATAATTCTTACAGTGTTCAGCTTGAAATATTCTGGAATAAACAAAAAGCATTACATTACAAGTGACAAGATCTCTTTCGGGACTTCCGTTGAACAAATGAAAGGCCTCCTCCCAGTAGCCATTCTGGGCATATCCAGAGAGCATACAATTAAAAGAAGAAATGTTCCACTCTGGCATTGTGTCAAAAGTTTTTCTTGCTTGATCAATGTAGCCATTATGTGAGTAAGTGGAAAGCAATGTATTGAAGAGCAAAAGGCTCTTGTGTGGAGTTTGATCAAACACGAGCTTTGCCAGCTCCAGGTTTTGATGGATCGAGCACGCACCGATCATTGCAGCAGCGGAGGCTAAGTCATGCTGAGGTGACGAATCAAACAACCGCTTCGATCGCCCAAGATCCTTCTCATGGCTGAGCATCATAGTGATCGAAACTAAGCTCTTTCCTGGCATTGACTCAAAAAATTCTCTAGTCTCCTCAGATCTCTCTGCCTGGACAAGAGCGGCCAGCATTGCATTGAGAGAAACAAGGCTATGGAACGGCATCTCACGGAAAATCTTGCAAACAAATTCCAGATATCCCTTTTGGGCATATGCAGTAAGAAGCGTGTTCCATGACACGACATCAACCTCAGGCATTAATTCGAACAATTTTTTTGCTTCTTCAATGCGGCCGTAAGCAGCATGGGCGTTTACAATTACGTTCCATGTAACGAGCGTCCACTCTGGCATTGTAAAGAACATCTCCCTAGATAAGACCAAATGCCCCTTTTCGGCAAGTGCCTTTAGAACAGTTGTCATTGACACAAGATCTCTCTCTGGCATGTTTTGGAAGAAATCTCTAGCTTGGCTCAAGCTACTGTTCTTGCAAAATGCAGCCAGAATCGAGTTCCACGATACCAGATCCCACTCGGGCATCTGGTGGAAGAAATCAAAGGCCTGATGGAACTCCCCGGCCTGGACATGGGCCGCTAGCATAGCGTTCCACGACACAATACTGCGCTGCGGCATCCTGAGAAATATGACCTTGGCGCTGCTGGAGTTCCTGCTAGAGGCCACGGCGGAAAGAATGGTGTTCCAGGCAAGAAGAGTGGGAGCGGGCATTTGCTGAAAGAGGAGCTGAGCGTCGCGAACTCGCCCATCGCGAGCGCGTGAGGATATTTTTCGCACCCAAGCAGAGGAATCGTCAATTGTCCCGGTCGAGCAAAAGCCTTCCATGAAAGCTTACGGGGTCTCTTTAGGATCCACTGTGCGCGAACATCTCGAGAGTGGTCGCAAGCCGGACAGCGATGCGATGTTTTCGTCCATTTGCTAATAGAGCACGGAACCCTAAAATTCAAATGGGCATATTGGATCTAATACCTTTGATCTGTAAGATGCGAGAGATTTCATGAAAGATTTGGTGTGTCGAATCTATGTGACCTTTTGTAAATCAATCCAAGCACTCCAAGCAATCCAATGAAGTTATTTCTACTGTTCACAAGAATATTGCTATTTCTCAAACTTAAATCCTATTTAAAGATTAAATATAAAACTTTACTTATAATTTATTTGGTGATTAAATCTTGACCCAGAATATCATGTTGATAGTGCTTATCCATAGAGAAAGATTAAGCTTAAGCATATTCCATCTGGCTAAAACCAAATATGTTCAACTTGAAATATTCTTGGACAACCAGATGAACAATCAATAATTAATAGCATGTAATGTCATCAATAGCTTCCTACAATTAAACTCTTGACAATGTTATCCTTGAATAAGTAGAAAGCAGGGCATTGAAGAGCAAAAGGCCCTTGTGTGTCAAACACGCAGCTTCAGGTGGATAGAGCACTCACTGACCATTGCATGCTGATCAAACAACCCGCTTTGATTGCCCAAGATCATTTTCATGAGCGGGCATCACGAAACATGCAGATATCCCTTTTTCTTATGCAGCGAGTTGCGTGTTTCATGACCTCTAGCATCGAAGTCGAACATTTGCTTTGCTTCTTCTACGGGACAGTAAGCCATATGTGCATTTAAGATTATGTTCCACGTAGTGAGCGTTCACTCTTCTCTGGCATTGTAAAGAACGTCTCCCGAGATTAACCAAATGCCCCCTTACGGCAAGTGCCTAAGAACAGTTACAAGATCCCTCTCTGGCATGTTTTAGAAGAACATTATAGGGAGTTCCACGATACCAGATCCCACTGGTGGAAGAAATCAAAGGCTTGATGGAATCCCCTGGCCTGAAAGACACAATACTACACTGCGGCATCCTGAGAAATATGGCATGGCTGAAATTCCTGAGCAGGTGAACATGGTTTTTGCAAAAAACCATAGTGCAATAATGGGTCATTAGGTCTCAATTTGACACTAGGACGGTAACAGTAGGTTAATTTTTTTGGGTTTTATCATGGTTAAAGAAGTGGTTTTGTGAAGCCAACAATTACTGGTAAGGTATATTTTTCAACAAAAAGCAAAAATATAAATAAAGAATATTTTACCTTCTATATAAAATTATATAGAGAAAATATATAAGCCCAAGATTAATCTGTAAAAAATGGAAACACTAGATGAAAATCTTGTAGAAAATCTATAATGAAATTCTATGTTAGCTATACCAAATTATTGTTGAAGTTGTGGTGAGGGTGGTATGGTGGAGTTAGCACAAGAGAAAAGGAAAGAAAAAAAAGACAAAAAATTTAGCTATGGTATATTATACATGTAATGCTCATTTTTGAACTCAATTGAGCTGCCATGGCTTGTTAATCTATTGGTATTTATCTCAAGAACCTAAATAATATGGATTAGAATATCACATCATAATTTTGTATTTTTAAATTATAAACATATCTATAATTTATGAAATATTTTAAACAACAATGGTTGATTACAGGATGCTGTCATTAGCTTCTCTGTATCTGACAAGGATTGATCATTGTTATTCTAAAGCAGAATTATTATTATTTTTTTTTGTAAGGCATTGACATTTCATATCTTCCAATAAAGTACTCCTAATTTTTTAGTGAGGCCATTATTGTGTTGAGTGTAGATGATTAGAGTTCAAAGAGCAATATAAGAAGTAATAAAAAATTTTACTAGACATTTTATTATCTTTCATAAAAAGAGAGGTGTTAATGACTTCATAATAGCAGCAAGTTCCCACTTGAAGCTTAAATTTGCTTTTTTCTTAAAAAAGTTTTACATTACAATGTGTGAAATGTCAAAAAAAAAAATTCTATCTATTAATTTCTAGCAAAAGTAGAATTATATATTATAATAATATATAATGTTTAAAATACAAGTGAACCTACACAATAAAGTTATGATTTTGATATGGTGTTATGTTTATGGTTTGGAATAGTTTCTGTTGGTTTTAAATTATGAATCTAAATGGACTGGAAGTGGTTTTAGATTATGAATTTTAACATCAAATATTTTATTAACTCACTTAGCAATGGAAATTTTCATATAAACACCATCCAAAATCCAACATTTAATAGAAGAAAATCATGTGAACGATAATATGAACTGCCAGAAAAACCATGTCTATTAGGCAAGCAATGGTCACCGGCTCCCTGTGCTAGTGGCCATGGCAGAAAGAATAAGCAGGCATTTGCTCAAAGAGGAGCTGAGCGTCTCGATATTGCGGAGCGCGTAAGGCAATCAAAAGCCTTCCATGGGCATGCCACCTTTTCTTTGAAAGTTTATTGTTGCGAGAGGGAAGTAAAAAGAGTTCTAACCTCTTGAGTGAAAAAAATATTACGAACGATGCTTGCCAGCATGATATTTCTCATTGCTCGCACAATGCTAGCCCGTTTCTTATAACAGGTATGTGAGTCTCTCCCCAGCAAGTTTAGCAGGGCTCCTGCGGCGCAAACCTGTGGAAAGATCTTTCTAGCCATTCTAGTTCGTGTTTCTCGCAAGTTACCTGTGTTTGAAGCTCGGAGCTGCCAAGCAAATGGACCAAGGAAAACATCGCGTCACTGTTCCGGATCATCGTCCTGCTCGCAATCTCTCTCGAGATGTTTTGGAGAGCGCCGGCAGCGGATCCGCAAATGCTGAGTTGCCGGCTCTGGAGCAGCCGTATGAACGATTTGATTCCACCCTGCTTGCGAATTTCACGAATGGCTTCGCCGTCGGAGCTTATGTTGTGCAAAGCGCCAGTTGCTCGAGCTCTCACCTGAAAAGAAACTTTTGCTAGATAGAGATGTGAAGGGAGAACGTTGGAGAGTTTACTCACGCTCTGGGATTTGGAAGAGAGCAATTGGACAAGTATCGCGATTGCTCCCAGCGTTCGCACGATCTGGCGGCCTTTTGGGTGGAAGCAAATGCTCTGTAGCGCTCCAGCGGCATTGGCCTGGAGCTCTTCTTCCGTGGATGTGAGCAGCTCAATCTAATGTCACAACTGTGAGAAAGGAGAAACAAAAAGAAGAAAAGAGATTTTCTTACCAGAATCGCGGCGCCATTGTTGTTTAGAACGAGCTCCACATTCTGCCTCTCATAGCACAGATTGAGTATAACATTCGCCCCCTCTGCTGCGATCGCCGCTGGCAAAGATCTGTCCCCCAAGCAATCGATCAATTCGCCTATGTACTGCTGGCCAAGCACTACCCTCTGCCCCTTCTTTCTCGTCAGGACCTTCAATTGCATCATAAGAGGCAGCAACTCCTGCGGCTCCACTGCCCCAAGATCGCCCAACGCCGTGGCCCCAGCCATCGCCCTGCCCAAGAACCCTAAATTCAAATCCAAAACCACGCGCGAAAAGCAGCCACGTGGACGGCTCAGATCAACCTCTCATGGCTCTTGTATGCTCCCACCAAGCCCAGCCAGTCCATCGTCTCTGGCACAAAGGGCATCGTCTGGAGAAGCTCTTCCGCCTCGATCAATCGCCCAGATCGCGCAAGAAGATCGGCCATGGAGGAGTAGTGCCGCTTGGCTGGAGCTAGATCGTAGTCCAGGATCAAGGATCTAAAGCACCCAATTCCAGAGGAGAGATCGCCGGAATGGTTGGAGCCCAGAAGAACGCAGCAAGAAGAGGAGTTCCGGGGCAAGAATCCCTCCATCGCCATTTGATAGAGGAGCTGCAATGCCGAGGAAGAATCCCCACTCTGGGCAATTGTGAGAGCCATGGCATTCCACGAGACCGTGTCTCGCTCGGGCAAGCGATCAAACCACGAATTCGCTCTAGCTTTGTCACCACTCTGGGAGATTGCCGTGAGAATCGCGGTGGAGGCCGCGAGATCTCTTTCCGGCATCGCCCAAAAGAGATTGATCGCGTGATCTAGATGCCAAAACCGGGCATTTGCTATGATGATCGCAGTCCACGAGATGGCGTCCCACACCGGCATCGCTGCTAGGAATTCTCTACAGATTTCTAAATATCCGGATCGTGAAAACTCTTGGAGGAGCTCGTTGCTCAAGACGAGATCGTGCTCCGGCATCGAGAAGAAGAGATGTTTTGCCCAATCCAGATGGCCGCTCTGGGCAGCCGTGGCAAGAAGCGCTGTGTAGGACACGATGTCGCGTTCTTCCATGAGATCGAAGATGTTCTTCGCGAATTCCAGATCCAGGGCCCTGGATGCCGCCGCCAGCACCGAATTCCACGCGATCAAATCGCCCTCCGGGAGTGATTCCAGCATCAACACCACAATCTCCCGCCGCTGTGCCACCGCGAGGATCGTCGTGAAGGAGATCACGTCCCATGCCGGCATTGCGTGGAAGAGCGACCACGATCCCACGAAATCCCCTGCCCTGGAGTAGGCATCCAGCATCGCGTTCCAAGATCGTAAGCTCTTGTCCGGCGATTCATCGAAAACGGCCCTGGCGCTGGCCAGATCCCCGGCGCGAGAGAAGGCGCACAGCATCAAGAACCAGGAGAAGGAGTTCTTGGCAGAGATTTCGCGAAAGATCTGGTGCGCGAGATCGACGCGGCCGCAGCGCGCGTAGAGCTGGATCAAGAGATTTTCGAGGAAGACGATCGAGCCCTTGGCATTGCCCTGGTGGAGGAGGAGAATCCTCGCGTGCGCCGCCCTAGCCTGTGACTCTGTCCGGGAAGATCGAATGAGATCCACGCATTCCTTTAAGCCTCCAACCATTACCATTTGGGGCTTCGTTCATATTTTAGGGTTCTCCGCGATCTTTCTGGATGGCGCTCAGTGCTGCGGCTTGGCGGTGCTGTCGATCGCAATTCCAGGTAACATTTCCGAGGAATTTCTCTTGTCCAGATCGAAATTCTCTCTTTTCTCGCAGTAGTTCCTCAAGCATTACCGATCGAGCGTTTCTTTTCGGCCTTTGCTCGCCCAGGTTCTCTTCCTCGCTCGAAAATTTGCAGTCCACATTGTGTGATTTCTTGCAGCCGCGATCCAGGACGCAGCACGCAAATCTTCCTCACTACTTGCGGCGATTCTTGCACCGGTCGAGTGATTCTTCCATGGCTTCTTCTCATGCAGCTGGTCAAAACGGGCGCAAGGTAGAGGAGGAGGAGACGCATGCGAGCGCTACCAAGGATTTGATCACAGTCCCGACGATGCTCACTGGCGCAAGAGTGGTGGCAGTACCAGCCTTGATCTTTGGTAAGATTTTTCCTCACTGTTCACACTACTTAAAGTTCTTTCTTTTTCTCGTTGCTAGTGTTCTTTAGCAACCAGGAGTGGGCATCTGTAGCGAGTTCTGGGATCTTCGTGGGAGCTGCCTTGACGGATTGGCTGGATGGGTACCTTGCACGAAAGGTGGGACGATGATTTTTTTCACTAGCCGCAAAACTATGTTGATCGTTCTCAGTGCCTGCTTGCAGACGAATGCTGCAATCAGTGCTACAAGAATTTGACACTCTTTTTGAATGGCAGATGAAACTCGACTCGGCATTTGGCGCATTCTTGGATCCTGTCGCGGACAAGGTGAGTTGTATAGTCTTTACATTGCTTTGGAGTTATCCTTCTCTGTTTTTTTCCAGCTTATGGTTGCTACAGCCTTGATTCTACTGTGCACAAGGCCTCTCGCGGCTGCCTGGTTTGTAGACATCCCGTGGCTGATTCCATTGCCGGCAGCACTTATGATCAGCAGAGAGGTTTTTTCTCCTCTCCTCTTCTCATCTCTCCAAAGTTTAAGCTTTTGTTTGCAGATTATTATTTCGGCTGTAAGGGAATGGGCAGCTCTCCAAGGACTCAACAAGGTGGAAAACTTCAAAATTTTCGTCCTTCATCGTCGCTAAATTCTTTTGTTTGTAGGTGGTTGCTGTGGACAAGCTTGGCAAGCTCAAGACCGCGACGCAAATGGTGTCACTGACTTTCCTTTTGGCATTTGGAGACGCAAGGTATTCAAAAACAACACCGATGAAACCGTTAGTAACTCTACTTCACAGGACTGGAATGGAAGCTTATCTCAGCGGTTTTGGAGTGGGGCTTCTCTACCTATCTACAGGCCTGTCGTTGGTATCTCTCTCTGGTTACATGAGGAAGTTATGGCGTAGCATGAAGTTGAGGCAAAAGACTGGATAAATTCTACTCGGACTCGGTACCCGATGGCTCAGAATCACCATCGTCGTCATCATCTTCATCTCCGGTATCAGAACTTGGATCTTGATCTTCGCCTTGCTCATCCTTTCGTGGTGTTTTAGGCAGCGATTTAGACGACCCTTTCTCCATCTAGCCCGAGACAAGTTTGAAGAGGTGATGCGAAGTAAACGAGATTATCATACCGCTCGGAGTAAGGTTCGCTTGTCTCGCTCACGAAGGCTACCGAGAGCCTGTAGAGAACTCAGGCTTTAAATCGAGGACACTTTCGTTCACTACTGACCTGTTCAAGTTGCCTTCGTTCATTCGCTTCCTCTTCAGCGTTCCTGCAGATCCCGCGAGCAAAACTATCAATCGAAGTATCACGATCTTAGCTACCTTCCAACAACGGGGAGATTGGACTGGCAGCATTTCGCGCAAGCGTTCTTCTCTTTCGCGCAGGCTGTCAAGGAAAGTTGGAAAGAGAAAACCAAAAGAATCGACGGAACCTGAGCAAAACTTGTGATAAGCTTGGCGAATTACTCGCTTCCCACATTGTTGGCTGTGATTCTTGCAAGTTCACCAGTAAAACAATCAAGAAAAAGTTTCGCGAGAAAGGAGTACATACCATTTGGCGGGCTCGACCAAAGCCTTATACTTCCCATATCTAAGAGCTCGAAAGAAGCAAAGAACAAAGAATGAGAAGGAGGAATGAAATTCCCACAAAGATTACCTGCGACGCCATTCGATCTTGTCCTTGCAGCGCGCGCAAACTCCAGTGATCGCGGGGTATGGATGCATCTTGCCTCCAAGCTCCTGTTCGATCGCTCTAGAAACCAAGAGAGACGGAGAAACACAAACAAACCTTGTCCTTCTTCTTCACTCCTTTGTTGGGTTTCCATGCAGTCCTGACAGAGAACCGTGAGGTTTAAACCTCCAAAATCTGTCACTCACGTATTCTGGTGCTTGGGCGGGCCTCTCCGCGACGCTGCTCCACTCGACATTGGCGCTGGAGTTCTGGACTAGGGTTTATGCCTAGTTGGCAACAGGTCAGATTTAGGGCTAACGTTAGTTAGGGCTTGCGTCATTAGAAGACGTGGCACTCGGTAGGGCAAACGTGGCTCTTGTTTAAACATAGTGGATGTTTTATGAATTTAACCGTAACTGGACTTCTAGTAGGAAGTAGTGTGCTCCACCGCGTTTCTAAAATTTACGCTCCCAACGCCATAGCTCGTAGCTCCACCGCTACCTCCGCCATACACTCCTCTCCCCGGCGACGCCACAAATCTCCTCGTCTCGTCCAGGATCTTCTTCTGATCGACCAAGCCACTCCGATCGAAGCTCCTCAGCACAATCCCGCTGCTGGACGTGTTCTCGCCGGAAGAGTTCGTCCCTGTCACCGATGGCGCTGCTCCAAATCCAGTGGAAGCGGCGCTGGTCGAAGCGGCAGCGATGGAAGAAGCCTGCGGTCGCTCCTCCATCTTCACTTGGTCTCTCTTCCTGTTCATGAAGAACCACGCTAGAGCCAGCACCGCCGTCGTGAAGAACACCGGCATTCCCCAAAACTTTGCGCCGATCTCTCCCGGCCTGTGCACTGGGAGGTTGGATCGAAACATCCCAACGTAGCCTTCTCCGAATCCCAGCACCACCAACTTGTCCCTGTCGCACACCACCAGCGGCTGTCTCGCCGTCGCTACCGGAGTGCTGAGAAACGTCTGCGAGATCTCGTCGATGGAAGCCGTGAAGAGCGAGCGGCTACTTCCTCTTCCTCCCGCTCGAGAGTTTCCAAACCCCGAGTGGAGCGTCGTGTTGTAGACTGCTACTTCCCGCGGCGTGACGATGAGAATGTAGCCTTTGAGACCGTGGAGCCTCACCGGTCCCTGGAGATCGAGTTTCCTCTTCACCCTTGCATGGCAGTCGAAGTGGAGAGTATCCCCGGAGAGTGTCACGTAGATCAGATCGCCATTCTCCGTCACCCCGTAAGCCTTCGATCGTCCGGAAGCATCGAAGGCGTAAGCCACCAAGCTCGAGTTGCGGAGGCCTTCGCACGGGCTGCTTCGCACCGTCATGGTTCGAAGATCCAGAGACGCTGCCCCGGAGGCCGTGAGAAAGAGCAGCCTTTGAGTGCTCGAGGTTCGCAAGAACGCCAGAGGCCTGCTGGGCGACTCGGCCGTCCCGTAGAGAGTCCCATTGTCTCGGAAAACCTGGATCTTCCCACTCGCGTCGGCCACCAGCAAGTATCTCATCCTGCCGACTCTATACATCTCCAGCGTATGGAGTATAGGACTTGCTTCGCCACCCCCAGCCCGAGTGAAAGGATCCACGAACGTGTGACTGAATTCCACTCTCAAGCTCGTCCAGTCCTCCACCGACGAAGATCCTCTATGAACGCTCTCCCACACCCGGTACGCTAGAACAGCCCCGTTGGAGTAGCCCGTGACGAGCAGCGTCTCGTTTCTTCGCAGGATCACTGAGATCATCGTGGTGACTGGAGCTGTGTAGGGGCTGGAGTGATCCACCAGCAAATCGCCCAGCGAGCTAAAGATGTAGAGATGCCCGGCCTCGTCCCCGACCGCCACGTACTTGCCCATCCCATCCTCGCCCTCGTGAGGAAGAATGTGGAGCGACGACAACGGCGCTTCCAGGTGGACCGCCGAGAGGAATTGGAAGTGGTCCGACCAGGCAGGCTTGTAGCGCGCAACGACGCGGACCTTGGCTGGGGCGGTGATCATCGCGGCCGCGCCCTGGATCGACGAAGAAGAAGTACCTTGCTGTGGACTAGAATCTGGCGATGGCGTGATGATCTTGGTCGGCTCCTCCTCCTGCGATTTTTCGGCGCCGCGATCGACGAAATCTCGATCTTGAGGGCCTGGAGCAGCGAAATTTCTCCTCGCAGGGACGGTATCGTCCAGCGCTCGGACCAAGTCAGCCAATCTATCCACCAGATCTCTCAGTCGATCGAGCTGCTCACTGTTGCCGCGGATGAGATTCTCGAGCTCGCCGTGCTGCTGCTGCTCGGATCTCCCTACCTTGTTGCCGCCGTCATCGATCAATCCTCCTGCAGCTCCGCCTGAGCCTCTCTCGGGACACATCGCCGCCCCCAATCCATCGCAGAGAGATTGATCCTCGCTGCATCTCGCGGCAATCAGACCGAGAAGCATGACAAAGAATGCCGCTCTCCACATGGATCCATCCTCGCTCATCGCTTCTCTTCACCATACCCCGAGAATTTCTTCCTATAAACCCTAAAATCTCCCCAGGCTTTACAGTAAAGTGGAAATATTTTGGGCCACATGGCCAAATGGTTTTCCCAAAAACCTAGCAGCGTCTAGGGTGTCGGCGGCCGAGGATTGGGAGCTGGATTTCAAGCAAGGCGCCAGCGAATCGACACTGGAAGTGAGTGGATTGCTTGATTTTGGCGAGGAAATCTCGCGTTGCGACGTCTTTTCTCGAGATTCTGGCATGGTGTAGGAATTCTTCTCGTCGCGGCTGTTAGCTCAGATTTCCGGGAGAAGCAGGTACATTTTAGTTCGTGTACAGATCTAGAGGATCCCCGGGCTTGGTGTACAGTACCAGTGGCACAGATTTGTACAAAACCATGGACAGGATAGGTGATAGAAAGGTTGTAAATGAGAGAAGGATCGAGGAGGAACAGCAGGATTTAGGATCGTTTCCTGCAAATGGTATCTCTTCCTTTCGTTCTTTTGGTTTTTGGGATTGTCTAAACGTGGTTTCTTGCTTGCAGATGGCCGCTTTGATGCCTCCCAGTACGCGTTTTTTGGACGAGACGTGACTCAAGATGTTGAGCTTGGAGGATTAGACGATGACGATGACGAAGACATTGGTCATCTTCATGAGATTGAGGACGATGTTTACTCGTCCACTGCCAGTAGAGCAGAGGTAAAGGGCGAGAGATTTTTTTTCGGGTTTCGATAGTGTGCTATTGATTTTTCTTGTTGCAGATAGGAGCGTTCGATGTCTCATCTGAAGCGGAGGACGTTGGCGAACTTACGAGCTCCTTTTTGAAGGTATTAGCTTGGTGTGTCGATGCTATTTGATCGAGCTTGTCTCTTGTCTGTTGCAGCTAAATGCGATTGATTCTGGCGACAGATTTCGAAGTCAACTGGATGAGGTTGGAATTACGGAAAAAGATGGTGAGGCTAGTTACTGTCCCTCCACTTTTGTCTAACAATGCTCGCTTCTGCAGTTCACGACTTTCCCGTCGATGTGACCTGGGCAGGAAACGAGTACGAGAGAAATCAGTGGGCTCAGTCGAGACAAAGCTCACAGCAAACAATAGCAGAGTTGCAACAGAGGACAGAAGAGCTCTATCAAAGAGCCAGAACTTCGGATTCTTCGCAGCAAACCATAGATGATCTGCAACAGCGGGCAGAAGAAATCTATCAAAGGATCAGGTCTTCTTCTGATTCGGGGCAGCAGCAGCAACAATGGTGGCGTGACGGTGGCTCTATTCAGCCTCCTGGTTACAATCTGCCCAAGTCTCACGGCTGGCCTGGACAAGCTCCAGCTTCGTCCTCAGGACCGGTTGTAAATAGTGCGTTCAAGTCCCAGCAGTTTACGAATCCTCAAATGGCACAGGCAATGATGGGTCCGTGGTTACAGTCGAACGTGGCACCGATTCCTCCAGGCGCTGTTCGACACCCTCTGCCTCAACAAAATCCTCTCATGCCGTCCCAAGTGGTGCTACAGCAGTATCAAAGGTCACAGGGATATCCAGCGCCGCCTTCCTTTGCTCAGATCCAACAGCAGCAGCAGCAGCAGCAACAGCAGGCAATGAGCATGTCCCAAAAGTCGGACTTAGCAGGCTTGGGGGATTTCAGAGATCCCAGGGGAAGGCAGCAGACTCCTCGGGGCTCTCCAGATAGCTCGTATGGTTCCAGGAAAAGCTTGGACTCGTCACCTCAGATGCGATCCAAGTATATGACGACGGACGAGATCGACACCATTGTGAGGATTCAATGGGCTGCAACGCACGGAAGTGATCCATACATTGACGACTACTACCACCAGGCAATGCAGTCGAAACAGGCGGGTGGTACGCCGCACGGAAGACGGCATTTCGCTCCTTCTCATTTGCGGGAGCTCCCGTCCCACGCACGAACAGCAGCAGAGCCGCATGCCTTTCTCCAGGTTGACGCGCTAGGGAGGATTCCTTTCTCGTCGATTCGCAGGCCACGACCATTGCTCGACGTAGATGGCGTCAACAGCACGGGTGACAGACTATTGTCATCCGACAGTGCTTCAAGTCAGAGACGCTTGGAGCAGGAGCCGATGTTAGCCGCAAGGATTGCTGTGGAGGACGGGCTGTGCCTGCTCTTGGACGTCGACGATATCGACCGCATGCTGGCCGTCTCTCAGCATCCCGACGGTGGTGGCCAGTTGCGGCGACGCAGACAAATGCTGCTGGAAGGACTGGCAGCCTCGCTTCAGCTGGTCGATCCTTTGGCTCCAGGCAGTGCGATGAGAGACTCGAGCGGACGGTTTGGACTGGCTGCCAAGGATGATCTGGTGTTCCTGCGGTTGGTCTCGCTCCCCAAAGGCAGGAAGCTCCTCACCAGATATCTACGACTGCTCGTCCCGGGAAGCGAGCTCGTTCGCATCGTCCTCATGGCAGTTTTCCGGCACTTGAGGTTCTTATTCGGCGGCGTCCAGTCCGATCCAAGCGCTGCGGCTTCGTCCACTGGTCTCGCGAATGCAGTAGCCGCCACCATCAAAACCATGGACTTGCCATCTCTCAGCGCCTGCCTCGCAGCGGTGGTCTTGGCATCGGAGCCGCCACCTTTGAGACCGGTAGGAAGCCCGTCCGGCGATGGAGCCACGGTGGCTCTCCAGGCAGTGCTGGACCGAGCTACGAGCATCCTGACGGACAGGAACGTCCAGTACCCGCTCCAGAACACGAGCGTGTGGCAGGCTTCGTTCGACGCCTTCTTCGGCCTGCTGTCCAAGTACTGCACCAACAAGTACGAGAGTATAATGCACTCGCTGCTCATGGCGTCGGCCGGGAGCTCGGCGGCCATCAACGCGGCGGCGGCGGCGGCCATGACTCGCGAGATGCCGATCGAGCTGCTGCGCTCCAGTCTGCCGCACACCAACGAGAACCAGCGCAAGAGGCTGCTGGAGCTCGCGCAGAGGTCGCTGGTGATGGGAGTGGGCGTTGGCGATGGGCATGTCAGTGCCGCGGCGGCGGTGAGAGGCTGAGGTATGGTCGATCTCTTCCTTGGTTTCCTTGATAGCATTGCGCTCTAATGCCTTGGCGTTCTTTTTTGCTAGAAAACAATGCACCAGGTGCAAATAAAATGTATCGTTACTCGTTTTAAACACTTGCTGGCACTGATGTGATCTTGCACGAACAATGTGAATATTTCGGACCTGATAAAAGAGAAAAACCTATAAAAGGCCCGGGTAGGATATATAGGCACAAGGTTTTCTATTTGTCTGTTGGTATTGCATCGATCCACCTAGGTAATCACAGTTAGAAGAGAACCTGAGATACGCCGGCGAGGGTCTGGTAAGCTATCTCGACGACGTGGTTAAACATGGAGATCGAAAGACGTTGCTGCCTTTTTTGTGATAGTGAGACGAAGCCGATCTTCAAATTACGTTGGAAGTGAATGATTTTACACGTTTTATTCACGAAACGGACTAGATCGAAGCGCAGGAAGAATGTTGTCTTCGTCGTTTTTACAGAGGAAACTCCGCTTGCAATGTTTCCAAGTCACGCTTGTCACAGGCGTCGAGAAGATCTGTCCTGGTGGCACTGGCACAACAACGAAGGTCGACACCAATCGCGTGAGATCAAAGCGCTGCAAACCCGAGGATAGAATAGACACGAACCTGAGTGACATTCTAAGGTACTGCCAAGCGTTGTCGGCTTTGGGATTCATGCACAAGGCTCGGACGTAGTAGCGAATGGATTCCTGGTACTGGGCCTGCACAAGATTTGTCTCTTTATCTATCATCTAGAAAAGAAGATAAAAAATTACTTGATTCGCGTAGCCAATTCCCATGTTAGACCACGCGCGCACATAGTTTGGCTTTAGATTTAGCGCCTGGAAAATTTCCAATGAGTTAGAAAAGAATGCACAAGCAGCAGAGAGAAACTATCACCTCTTGGTAGGCATATATCGCGTCGGAGCTTCGTGCGCTGTTGGCCTGCGTAGCTCCTAGCTTGTTCCACAGGGAATAATCACGGGGTTTTAGCTTGAGAGCTGTCTCGAAGGACTGTATCGCGTTGGAGTATTCCCGAGAGAGGTTGTAGAGAACACCCAAGACGGTGTGGACGTCACCATCTTCTGGTGCCATTGCTGCTGCCTCGTTAAACAATCGGGCAACCTGAAGGATTTCAAAGAGTTTGGGGTTACAGTTCAATTGCAAAAACTTACGTCCGATTGCGTGAGACTTTCGGCATTCTCTTGAGGCACAAGTATTCCATACTTTGGATGGTGTTGAAGCCAGCCTCTTAGATATCTCAAGGCTTCAGGCTGCTCCAATTCTAAAAGAAAATCAACACTATAAGAACGAGGGCAGCTGAGGTCACGTTACCATTAGTATGACTAACGCCAAGAGCTAACAAAACCTCCAGATTGGTGGGGTCTGCGTCTCTTGCTCGAACCATCGATGCGATTGCCTAGCAAAGAGAAATAGAGGTTCACAACAAAATTAAAAGGAAATAAAAATAAAAGACTCACCTGACGATCGTCATCATTTTCAGCATGAGTAATCCCTAGCAATCGCCATCCCTCGGCATTCTCTGGATTTTTTATCACTTCCGCTTCCAGAGCAAGCACAGCTTCGCTGAGCAGGCCCTTCCTGAACAGCTCTTGGCCTTCCTTGAGGGGATTCGGGTGGCCGACATATGGATTCTGGTCAGCAAAAACGTATGTCCACTTTGAGGACGCGGAACGACTTTGTTCCCCTCTAAGTTGTTCCTCCACGAACCTGGAAAACAGCGTTAGCTCTACAAAAAGGACGACATTTAGCCTTACTTATCGTAACTTTCTTGCCAGTCCTCTGACACGAACGCACCATCATCCACCTGCTCTTGAAATTCGTCGGCCCACTTTTGCGTCCTGTTGGAAAATTCTTCGGCCCAGGCTCCACCAGGTTCTTGTTGAGCAAACTCGTCAGCCCAGCTGTTTGCGTTGGCGTGCTACATTTTCCACGATCAGCCTCTCGAAAACAAAACGTATATAAGAAAAAATAAAACCTCGCCAGCAGTGAACTCTGCAGC